TCTGGGCAGCTCGGCCCCGGCCCTGGGGAGCGCCGAGCTTCCCCTCGCCCCGGGGGGTCCAGCTCCGGGCCCCCTCCCGTGCTCTCTGTTAACGGACCCGTTAACGAGGAGAAAAGCCACCGGAGAGAGCGTGGGGTGAGTGCTGGCCAGGGAACCGGAGCACGAGTACCGAGACTGCAGGGGAGGCCGTGTCTGTGCATCTCAACTAACTAACAGAGGGACATCGTGCTTCAGACGCTCGGAGGCCTGTGTGTGCCTCTCCTGTAGCGCACGTGAAGGAAGCGGTTGCCCCAGGGGGTGGATTGCTGTGTTCTTTAAAAACGAAGACCAGTAAGTGGTGCTCGTTGTAGCATCGTCGGGTGGTTTGCATGCTGGGATTTCTGGGATACTTCTTCAACCCCCCCCTTTTCTAATAAAAAAAATTTCTTTGCTCGCAGTCCCTTTGCACTCCTGCTGAGCCTCAGCGGCTCGTGGCGCTCTGCTAACGAGCAGGCTCCATGTCCCTCCTTCCCAAGATCTTGTATTACAAACTCCCCGCTTAACACTTCTGACCCGATTCTGACCCGATTTGCCTTTGCTGGTGGCCTCGGGGAGGTTGTGTTTCGGCAGATCTAACGTGGTTGTGCTCTGCTCTTATTCCTGCGGGCTTAGTCTGCGTGTGCTCACGGGAAGGGAAAGCTGGCAAATTCCGGCACTTGGTGAAGATTTTTAATTACACGTGTTAGTGTAATATTAGATGATTTTAGGCTTCTCAGGCTCTCAGAATTTGTTGAGTTCTCTGGAAAACGTAAACATTATTGCGCTGTGCTTCTTCCTTGAACTGGGAATCTCCAGATGGGTGGGCTGGCGTGGTTGGGCTGTCACACACGCTTCGTGTGTGCGACAGTGACCTTGATGGACCCCGCGGAAACGCGAGGCGCCCGGCTGGCTCCTGCGGCGCCTCTGCTTGGCCAGAGAGGCTTGCAGAGCCTGGTGTCCAACAGGTAGATATTAGCATTAACGTGGAAAGCAAAGGGTGGTAAAGAAACTTAGCAGCAATTGAAAAATGCATCCTGGGTATTTGGGGATTCAGATTTTTGTGGTGGTCTTGTATTTTTTTTCTTCAGGATCTGTTTAGTCTAGTCAAGGTCTTCCTTTGTTTAAGACTGACGGGAGTGTTACTTTGAGTTCTCGGTGGAAAGAGACTTTAGTTTTTGACTTAAATATGGCATTTGAGAACTCCTCTCTAGGCTTTCCTCAAACAGATTTGCTATTTCTGTGTAGGGTTTGCTTTGTTGAGGAACAGAAGGATTCTTCCCCCGGATGGCCAGCGTCTGAGGGCTTTTCAGCAGTGCTCTCACTTCCTCTGTACAGGAGCATGTATAGAGCTCTTGAGTTCAGTTGTTCACGTGATTTACTGGAGAAAGCAGGGTCAAAGATCTGTTTTGGAGCTGGGGAGAGGATGGGGAATCTCCCTATAGAACAGCAAAAGAGCATTATATTTCTGGCTTGGCCTGTCATTTACGTTGCCTCTACCTGGTTTTGTAGATAAAACAAAGGAAAATATTTCCATGGTTTGGGAAGCATTGCATACACCAGAATTGTAGCTGAAATGTAGGACCACATTAAGTTTGATTAAAAATCTGCATTGCATTCTGATCAGGCTGTCATTTGATGAGACTGAAAGATATTCCTTGAAATCGCTGTGGTTCGTTCCATTATATTTTATGTAGATTTAGGGTGCTGCTTCGCAGTGTGCTGTCCACAGTGTTCTTCAAAGTAGAAAGGTATAGCTGGGAAGGATGCAAAAAAGCAACACAGTTTGGGGACTTCTTTTAAATAAAACCTAGTAGTTGGTCAGCGTGAGTGGTCCGTGCTAGGTTCAGAAAGAAGAGGTGGCTATAGCTGTATCTACCTTCCTCTGAAGCAGAGCTTCAGACTGGGGAGGTCATATCTCTTATGTGACCTCTGTGCAAATATTAGCAGAGTGCAATTAGCAGGGAAAGGAAGCAGGCTCTAGCCAGGCTTGTGTTCTGCTGGTAAGGCAGCTTGCACAGTGCTCGGATTGGCAGTGGGGAGCCAACGCAGCACTGTTGCAGGTGGAGCTGGCTGTACCATAGGTTTTAGTTCCTTTTGGAAAACTCTTACAACCTTTGTGGGTTAAAAAAAGACAACACCTGCCAAAAAAAAAAAGTAATTGTGATAAATAGTAGTGTTGTGGGAAGAAGTGAGTTCATAGTCACATCAGCCTGATTTGTCCATGTGAATACAATCCACTTTTGTGCTTCATTAATTATCAAATGTTAATGCAATTACAGCCTTGAGATCCAGGATTTTTATCTTGGATAGACACAGACAGCAGTGATTATTATTTTTTTCCCCCTCCTTCAGCCCTTCAGTAGCCTGTTAGAAGAAATAGCTCTTGTTCCTTTGATTTTTGAGAGCCTTTATAGTTGGGCTCAGGTCATTTTGTGCAGATTCCTAAAGCCACTTTAAGTCTTCATCAGCTCTGAACTTGTGAAATCAAAGACCTGCAGCTTGTTGCTGTTGAGTCATCCATCAATGTCAGTCTATTGGTTGGGAAATGTGTTTTTCCTGGATTACAGAGTCAGTTATGGAGCAATTTCAGGAATAGGAAGTTGCTTCAGAATAAACCAGCATATTAAGGGGATAACTGTATAACTAAAAGGGTAGGGGTTTTCTTTCTGGAGGGAATGCCACTGAAAACTCATTCATGTACCTACACTCACTCTGGTTTTGAGTGGGGCCAAATGTGGGAAGCAGAACAACTGCTACTTCAGACTGTGTGTTCATGAAGTACGTGTATGTTGCTTTTCTCTGGCTTGCTTGGCTCTGGGAAGGGGAAAATGCCTGGACCTTACTGAAACAGGGATCCCAGAAAGCTTCTTTTAAGGGCTGTTATACAGAATTGTTTTTCTCTTGCGTTTCCCCCTCTCATTAAATAATCCTGCTCTGACAAAAGGGTCTGGGAGCACCAGTGTGGAGCTGTGTATACACTTTGCCACCAAACAGACAACTCATACTTTATGTTAATCCACTGCCTATCCAGGCTGACTGTCAGCAAAATGTGTATTTTACAGTTTTCACTCTCTTTGGTCAGGACTGAAGTATGGGTCTTTCCTGTTTGCTCAAAGTCCCTTCCTTTCTCTTTGCATTCAGCTGTACTGCATGCCCGCTGCTACTCCCATGGGTCACAAGAATCAGATGAAGAATTTGATGCTCGCTGGGTGACGTATTTCAACAAGCCAGATATTGATGCCTGGGAACTCAGGAAAGGTATGTTGGGTGTAACATGGAGTAAATATAACTGGTTTGTATTAGTTTTGTGACCAGAAGCAACAGCTTATTTGTACTTTGCTATTGGAAAGCAGAAACAGTGAAAACTGGGAGTTTGGTGTAGGAGAGCAATCCCGTAAACACCGAGCTGGGGCAAGGCACTACGTGAGCCTTATTTGTTCCGAGCTGTCTAGCTGCTCCATGTGTGTCTGTGGTTGCTGTGCTGCTGTTTCTCAGCTCCCAGCCTCTTGCAGCTGGTAATGTCCCCTCACCAGCCAAACAAGTGGGTTGGAAGGTACCACAGCATGCAGGATGAGGAAGAGGGGGATACAAGGTGGTGAGACTCCAGGCTTTGTAAGTTTTAATGCCCCAGAATAGGCATTTTAACACCTGGGTGGGAAGGAGAGAAATATTTGCTCTGAGGAAGGTGTATTTGAGCTCAAGTGTTGCTTAGTGTATAACCACACACATGTTTTTTTGGACTTTGGCTTAATGGCTTGGCCATAACTCCTTGTAGAATGTTTGGTTGTCTCCAGAGGTTATTTGCTGTGGAGTTGCCAGCTCCTATTAAACCACCCCAATTAGGACTTAACAATGTGTTTGCATAACACCCAGAGGGATCATTGCAGCATCAGCTGGATGACTGTATGTTGGGCTCTTCCCTTGGAAAGGAGAGGAATGCAATAGACAGCAGCTCAAGTTCTGGTTTCATTACACCTGTAGGAATCAAGTAATTTGGATTTCTTAATGATTCCATAACTGATGTGCTGTGGTACAGACACTGACTCCCTTTGGAAGCATAGATGACACGAGCCTACTGGGGTATCACCTAAAATCTTAAAATCTAAAGTAGTGGGCAGCAGTGAGTGGGAGAAGAGCAAAAGAAAACCCTTGGCTCTGTGTGTGTGTCCCCAGAATAGCAGTGAAGGTTGTAGTCAGCTTCTGATAGTGACTGGTGTTGTGGTAACACTTAATTCTTTCACGAGGTGGAGCAAAATAATGCTCAGCGGGTTCCTTTTGATAGTGCGATGAGCTGATGCCAAGTTCCTCTTGGTGCTGCCTTATATTCACAGGCATAAACACGCTCGTGGGTTATGACCTGGTTCCGGAACCAAAAATCATCGATGCAGCTCTGAGGGCATGCAGACGGTTAAACGACTTTGCCAGCGCTGTCCGCATCTTAGAAGTTGTAAAGGTGAGTGGAATGGCAGCCTAGGGTGTAACTGCTGCGTCGTGATGCCGACAGCCCGGCAGCGGAAGAGTTGTCCTTCGCTTGCTGTTTGTGGTGCTAAGGGAAACCACTATTTCCTGTTGCCAGAATCAATAGCCTCATTATGAGCATGTGCTTTTGTGGCTCCAAATAATTATTTTGAGGTAAGAGCACTCAACAGCACAGCTTCACAAGTGTGATATTCTTATGTTCATATATTCCTCTGGAGCGAGTTCAGAGGAGGCCACAAAGGTGCTTGGAGGGCTGGAGCACCTCTGCTATAATGACAGGCTGCGAGAATTGGGCTTGTTCAGCCTGGAGAAGAGAAGGCTCCGGGGAGACCTCATTGCAGCCTTCCAGGACCTGAAGGGGGCTACAAGGAAGCTGGGGGGGGGGCTTTTTACAAGGGCCTGTAGCGACAGGGCAAGGGGGAATGGGTTTAAATTGAAAGCAGGGAGGTTTAGATTAGATATCAGGAAGAAATTCTTCCTGGATACGTTGGTGACCACTGGGACAGGTTGCCCAGAGAAGCTGTGGATGCCCCATCCCTGGGAGTGTTCAAGGCCAGGCTGGATGAGGCTTTGAGCAACCTGGTCTAGTGGAAGGTGTCCCTGCCCATGGCAGGGGGGGTTGAACTAGGGGGGTCCTTCCAACCCAAACCATTCGATGATTCCTTGTCTGACGGTGACTCTTGTGGGCAAGTCTTCTAGAATTATCCTACCCTTTTTTTTTTTTAAATAGGCCATATTAGAAATATCTCAAGAAAGGCAGTTTACTGGCTTCATAAAGGACTGAATATTGAGCTGCCTGGGAATAGTAACTCAGGAAGCTGCATAGGCTTGGAAGACAACATAAAGCAGCACCTTGAAACTTGAGCCTGACCTTCACTTAATGGGGACCTAAAGTGGGTGGGGGTGGAGGCAGGAGTTCCATTTCAGTCGCAGAAGCCAGCAGCTCTGCATTTGCCACAGGTGAGGACTGGCATGGAGGTCTTTGCTGCGAGCTGTCAGATACACTGGCCTCAAAATTTACTCCACAATCAGTTGCTTCTCAGTTTGCCATTTCTGCTGTCTACATGATTCTGTAGAACTGAAACTCTTTCAGTGGGTTTAGAAACATAAGACCAATGGAAGAATCTTCATTTTTCCCTTATCTCATTTATTTTTTTTCCTGTCCTGTTGTCCCCACCATGTAGGGGACAACGCAGTTTATCAGAATTTGTGGACAAGCATAAGCTTTTCCTGGAGCTCCACCTAAATATTACTCAAGGGGTGATGCTTTTCTCCTGACTTCCAAGCAAGTTAAATTTTCTCCCAGGTCTGCCCAAAAGCAGATTTTTATTTTTCTCATACTTGCCGGCTATAGTTTTCATTCCGTTTCCTGAGGTGTAAGCAGGCTTTGGGCTGGTTTGCAGAGCATCCCTTGTTGAAGGGGCTTGCCTTGGCCCGTAGTTGTGTGTGGTGCGACACACACATCACAGATCACATCAGCCTGATACTAAGTGAGGAAAAGGTGTCAAGTGTTAAGAATAACCTGCAACTCCCCCAGAGGGGAGGAGTTCAGCAGTAGTCTGGGGTGCTTTGCAGCCACGGTCGATGGGTAGGAGGACTTTCCAGTACAGCTGTGTACAAGTCTTGTTTACTTGATGCCCAGGTAAAGCTGGGCTGTGCTGTCCCACCCTGCATGATCCACCCTCATGGGCAGGGGGTCGATCAGGGCACAGACCCTGCTGTGAACACGTCTTGATTGCAAACCTGGCCGGTGTACGGTGGAGCTTGACAACATCTTGCTGTTGAAATAACACCATTTCTTTTCATTTAGGACAAGGCAGGACCTCACAAGGAAATCTATCCTTACGTTATCCAGGAACTTAGACCAACTTTGAGCGAACTGGGCATCTCCACTCCAGAGGAACTGGGCCTGGACAAAGCATAAACCTTATTGGTAAGGGATGCCGTTGCCTCTCAGACTGTTGGCACAGGACTACTGTGTCCTAAAACTCTCCCGGGTCCCTCTCGCCTTCAGAGGCCTGTGAGAGGCTGTGAAGTTCAAGCTTGTAACGCCATTCTCCAAATACCTCTAACCACAGGTCTCCTTGAAAAGGTACTAACCCTTTTCAAAGAAGGCTTAAAAACCCAACAGTGCAGTTACTTGAGAAGGGACAGGGTGGTTGGCAACCGTACCCCACCTCCCAGAAATTTCTAGATGCCTGTTGTCAAGACAACGGGTATTGCAGCAGCGTGTCAACCTTTGCTTTAGCTTTGTCCCCCAGAAGCATTTTTATCAAATGGCAGGATCAGTTCCACTGGAAATGCACACACTTTCATTTTATTTTCACAGGCTAGACAATTTATAAAACTGGGAGACACTAATTACCAGCCTGTGCTGGAAAATGGGCCCCATTGATGGTCGTCGCCCAGCAACACTGAAGTTTCTTCACGTTACGCTTGAAATCGCATCTTTTTCTGTAATTAAGCGCTACTTTGGAGGGCCCTTTGCTTACAGAATAAACAGATCAGCTCAAGCATAGCCAGAGCTCGACTGATCTGTGCGCAGAATATCCTTTAGCCTCAACAGATAATGTCAGGAGCAGTGCATGTAGCATTTCACCCTAACTGCAGTGGCCTCGAGTCTCGGCAAGGTGCTGCTTCACTGCCATTTCAGACCCAGACTTCCGAGTACTTTCAAAACTTGAAAACAACTCTAAAACATTTAGATCTGTCATAAATACCAGCCTTTTCCTTGAGCTGCAGCATATGAAGGTGTTACTAAACAGCAGCTTCTCCAATTAATGAGGATCTGTCATTAAGTACACGCAAGACCTAATGTGCTCTAATCCCAGACTAAAATTAAGCCCTAAATAAAAATCCTCATGGAAGCAAAGTTACGTAAAGGCAGTCTCTTGCCTCAGTTTCTTCAGAAGGCCAGAGTCACATTCCTCTTTAATACGATGCCTAGAATAGAGGTATCGGGTGTCGGACAGCACTTAATTCTGGACCTTTTAAGTCCCTGCCCCTTCCTTGCCCAGGGATACGATGTCTTGGTGCAAGGGGGAACTGAGACGGCTGTGCTGGGAATGCAGGAACTGCATTTTGGGGCCGGGCATGATTAAACTGAGTGTAAAAGCGAGCAATGGCGATAACTCCTCAAATGACCCCATGGAAACTCTGCGGAGATGCTGGGCTGCTTCTTTAATTACTTTTCTGTTCTTTTCTGGTTTCAGGTGCATTACTTGAGCATTTTACTGATGCTACCTGATTGTACACAGTCGCCTGGAGACACAGATGTTAAAATATTACCTTATTTGAAATAAATTCTTCCTTTATTGAGTCACAATGTATGTGATGTGAAGTTGGACCTAATAAAGGAAAAACCGGTTTGACTGATGTAGCAGTGGCTCGTGTGATTATTTGGTTTTGCTTTTACGGGGAAGAGGAAGAAAAATTGTAAATGCGCTCAGGGTAAGAGCTTATAAATGCTTGGGTGTGAGGCCCAAGCACCTAGCTCCACCTTCGGGAAGGGAAAGGTGAGCACCCTGTCGTGGTGACCCTCTTGTACCCACAGCTTTGGGGAGGAGGAGAACAAGGACTTGCAGAACTCTATGCCCTTGGAGGAGGAGTCGTTTCCAGGGATAACATTGGAGCTTAATGAAGCCTCTGGGAGGGGGCTCCTGCTAGAGATGCCTGTGCAGGCTGCTGTCTGGCAGAGCTAGGAATCTCCTCCAGGATTCCAGGATAGCTATTGCTCTAAGGAGCTACCCACAGCTTTGGGGAGGAGGAGAACAAGGACTTGCAGAACTCTATGCCCTTGGAGGAGGAGTCGTTTCCAGGGATAACATTGGAGCTTAATGAAGCCTCTGGGAGGGGGCTCCTGCTAGAGATGCCTGTGCAGGCTGCTGTCTGGCAGAGCTAGGAATCTCCTCCAGGATTCCAGGATAGCTATTGCTCTAAGGAGCCCGTTTTCCAC